ATAGAAATGATTGTGAGGAAGGCTCAAGCCTGGGCAATGTTTCATTCGTTGTACACAGGGTTGCTGTGAGTTTGAACCACCTTGACAACACCCAACAGCACCAACAATGTCTGACCCCAAAGGCTGTGTAGTGTCTACCAGTCCACTATTAGGATGTAACTGCTCTTCAATGCTAACAAACGATACATAAAAACAAAAGGCAATGCTTACTGCGTTGTACGATGCTACATGTTCAGAACACAAAACAAGCATAGATACAGGCCAGGGACTGTGTCATTGGTCACTAACCCTGTTGTCTGGCCCATATGAAAAAATGCAATGACTATATTTGGAAGGAACAAATGAAAAAGCCCTTTTAAAGTCCAATGTAAACTAGTGGAATTATTTTCTGGAGCAAAAGACCTGCAGAGCTCATTTGATCCAATAACCCCAGAAGGTCAGGCTCCAGCACAGAGTTAGAGGTGAGTAGGAATCAGAGCCCATAGTTTAGTGCCTGGTGCTGATATCTGGATATCTCTTTCAGGCTCTTTCCTCACCCCATGCTCCCACCTGCTGTCTGCTTTGTACCAAGTTTGAATACCTACCAGGTTCCTGGAGACAGTAGCTTTCTCCACATATCGTCCAGTTTCCACATCCCAGAGAAGCAGGGTGTTGTCCCGAGAGCCAGTGCACAGCTGTGTAGAGTCTTTGGAGACAATGGCAAGAAGACAACACACGAGATGGGTCTTGACTAGAGCTTTTAAGAAAGTGCAAAGTTGTGGGGAAGAAATTTGCTTTACTTTACCTGGACTCACAGCTAATCCGGTGACCACCATGGCATGGCCTGAGAACTGCTGCCTTGGTTGGGAAGAACCATGCAAGTCCCACATCATAACCATCCTGTCACGAGATGCACTGAAGAACTGGCTCGATTTGTGAATACAAGCTACCTGCTCAGGGGGAAATACCAAAGAAATAGCTTTGGTGTGCTTACTTGATTTGACTTGAAAACAAGAAAAAAATGGGTTGTATAACTCTTTTCTACACATAGGTTTTTTAAAAAGTAGTGTCTAAATTTTCAAGGAGTCCTGGTGTGGCACTGTAGATAAGCACTGGACCGCAAGGTTGGTGTGTACCACAAGGTTGGCTATTCAAACTCACCAGCTACTCCTTGGAAACCCTATACAGGGTCACTGTGAGTCAGAATTGACTTGATGGCACGTAACAACAACAAATTTGAAAACATAACAATGCTAGTTTCAATTTTTACCTCCCAGTGTCAAACTACCTTTCCTCTTTTATAACAGAACTACTTCCTGACTAACCTTTAAGGTAAGGATTTCTTTCATGGTACTACTAACTGAAAGATTGGTGGTTCAAACCCACCCAGAGGCACCTTGGAAGACAGGTCTGCTGATTTGCTCCCAAAAGGTCACAGCCTTGAAAACCCTCTGGAACAATTCTACTCTGTATATATGAGGTCACTATGAATCGGAAAAGACTCAAGGACAACTTCAAAATAAGGTTAAAATTTCACCTCCCCCATAAAGCCTCCTCAGATGATGTCAGCTCCATAGGGACTGCTCCCCTCTTTGATCTCCAACAGAATTTCTTGTTTGTGAGACCCCTGTCTTCTTGGACACTTTATCATCATCACATCTAAAATTTGTAGAGCTATAAAGTAGTCTCAAATACTTGGTCTTATTAATCATAACTATCTTACATAATCTCTTACTTTGTTGTAATATTATTCATTTTATGTTGTTCTTCAGAAAACATTATATTTATTTTTAATCACATAAAAATACATTATTTCTACTTTAGCATAAATAAATGTTGGGTCTTTAGATCTCTTTTTGACCAATTAATATAGAAAATTATATTCCCAATTTCTGAATATTGAACCATTTCTACATTCCTAGAATGAAGGCAATTAGTCATGGCATGCTCTTCTTTTAGCAAAATGTTACATTGTATTTACTAATACTTAATTTTTTTTTACATCAATACA